ATTGAATTCAGGGGTCATGGGATGTTGTTATCCTGATTGTGTGAGTAAAGGGCAGCAGAACTGTGCTGAGCTAGTCCTGATTGGGGGGGTGGGGTCACCCTTAACTCAACTGAACCCACTAAGAGGGCCGGCTCTAGGCACCAGCGCTCTAAGCGTGTGCTTGGGGCAGCACTTTCCAAGGGGTGGCACTCCAGGCCCCCCCCCTTTTTTTGTTTTTTGCTTGGGGCGCAAAAAGCCGGGAGCCAGCCCTGAACCAAGATGTTCCCTGTCAGCGGAGGCTTTCAGGAGCTGGAACTGACACTGCAGTTCTGGCTGCAGTGGCTAGATGGCGCTCATGGCAGCCTGAGTCGCACAGGCTGGGCTGCAGTTCAGGCTGCCCGGCCGCTGGAGAGCCGGAGCATCATCCCCGGAACTGAGCCCGGCTGCGGGGGCGAGAGGGGCTCAGCTCCGGGGGATGATGCTCGGGCTCCAGCGGCCGGGCAGCCTGAACTGCAGCCCAGCCTGGGTGTGAGGAGCCGGGGAGGGAGGGAGGGAAGTGGAGCTGGGATGCAGGGAGGGGGGAGGGGTCCTGCTGCCGCTGCTGCTCTGAGTCTCCCCAGGGCGGCGCAGTGTTTCCCCGCCCGAGGGGGCTGTGCAGGGCGCCGCCGGGCTGGGCAGGGGGCGCGGATCCCGGCTCGCGCGCTGACAGGGCAAGTGGCTGGGCAGCCCGAGCTGCCAGGGAGCTGCCGCCGCCCCCTCCTGCCCCCGGACCCAGCTCGCTGCGCACCTCCCCCGCCTCAGCCCCGCGCTGCCTGCCCTGGGTGGGGAGAGGCAGAGCCCGGCTCCGAGTGGGGCAGCGGGGGATACTGCCCCGCCAGGGGACCCCCGCAGCTCAGGCACCTGGGGGGTCAGTGTCTGTCCTCTCGGCTCTGCCTGCAGGGGGCTGGGGAAGCAGCTGTCAGCGCCTGCCCCTCTCACCCCTTGCACCCCCCATCCCGCTCGCAGCCCCTCCACTTGTACCTCCCCCCATCGCTCCTTCGCCGCACCCCTTCCCCTTGTACTCTCCCTTCACCCGCACCTCTCTCCTTGTACCCTCCCCCAGCCCTCTCCTCCCGCACCTCCCCCCTTTCCCTACACCTCTTCTCTCGCAACCCTCCTGATACCCCCTCTCCTCCTCCACCCTCCTCTGCGAGTACATCACACCCTGCTTCTCTGCCAGTGTAGAGCCCCCAAGCACCCCCACACCCGCTCCTCTGCCTGAGGCCTCTTTACTAGATCCCCATCCCTTTCCAGGTACAAGGTTTGAGGGTTAGTTCCCTATGCCTTCCATGTGCATTTGGAGCACTAAAGATGGGGTTGCGGGGGACGGGGGGGGTGAGATTTATACTAAAGTGAAATAAAAATAGGAGAAACGGTTTGATCCCCACTGCAAGTGTAAACGGGGATTGCTGTGGTGAAAGAGGAGGTCACGTTTGGGGGGGGGAGCCCAGGGCTGGGGCGGCAGGGCGTGCAGGTGGGAGGGGAAGAGAGAGCCCAGGGCTGGGGTGGCAGGGGGTGGGGGGTACAGCCCAGGGCTGGGGTGGGGGGGGGGCAGCCAAAAATTTTTTTGCTTGGGGCGGCAAAATACCTAGAGCTGGCCCTGGCAGTGTTACAATTAGTATTTCCAACCTGTCACTTATTCCGGGATAGAACTTGGTTTGGTATCCAGTCACAACTCAGGATTCCTTAATACTATTCTCTAATTTCTCTTTTCAGCCTCAGACTGAATCTTGGCCATACAGATGGTCAGAACTTCAATCTTCTGATGTTACAGTCATAAAAAAATTAGGTTCACCCTAAATTCCAGTTTAGCAGTGCAAAGGTATTATTAATGTTATTTCTAACTATCCACAGGGGAAATTTTATTCTGGTGACATAATGTAAAAAGTAATTATTATTTGTGACATTTACTACAGTTCACACAAAAGCAAGATCAAGTCTTTTCAAAATCACTCTTGTATTCAGGTCATTTGAAGTACCAGAATATTTGAATCTTCGGGTACTGCCAGTTCTACCTCAGTAGCAATGTGGCTGTTTCTTTAAGAGGGGATTCTTACTCACAGGGTTTGCAATTACCGCCATTTACAAGTTCCCCTGTTACTTTCACTTTCAAACTCAGTAAATCCTGCAAGAAGAAAGCACGTTTATCCGTGTGGAACAACAACAGGATTCTTTAAAAAAAAAAAACTGCTAGAAAAGGCTTTGATCAAACTGCAGCTATTTTATATCCAGTAGTAGCTGGGCATCTTGATGAAATGAAATAATTGATATTTTAAGGACTATCTCGACAAAGCATGAGGATTTCAGAAGGACAGACCGCACCCTAACCACCATGAAACGTCTCGGAGGGATCAATCAGGTAGGTGAACTTTGGCTGCTTGACTTTATAGTATTCAGGGCTTTTTCTTGGACAGATTGTTAATAACACAAAGATTTGATAATCCCATGAGAATTTGTTTTGCTCTTTATGGAAACAGTCCCTCATACAGTATGTACATTCAAAATACATACCCTCAAACTACATTTCACATCAGCTTCCTAGCACTGCTGGATTTTTACAGTACATTCAATAAGTAATTTGTTTCCTCTGTTACTGTGTTTCATTCAAGAACCCTGGGCCCAATTCAGTTTTTAGTGATGTTAAGGGGAGATTTGTAACAAAGTAACTTCCTGTATTTAGAATATAGGAAGAAACATAGGGCTGCAAACTCAGCTGCAATCAGTATAGTTTCCTGGCCTGCTTGTAGTCAGTAGTTTTCGACCTGACTGGGGGGCTGAGTCCTTTTGCTTCTGATACTTTAAAGGAAAAAAAGTCCAATTTTGTCCAGAATCAATGGAAACAAATTACAGCCTTTATTCATTTTGAGATCAGAGGGAATTCAGCATGTGCCTAAAATGAAGCACCCTTTGAAATGTATTGCTGAATATCTTGGTATTGGTCTTCTGTATGCATGTCAAGTGATCCACAACAACCACGGAGTGATCAGTTTGTACACATTGCATTGTTATCCTGTGATAAATTAATGTTGCCTCCTATCTTTGTGGCCATAGAGCTGTAGAAGGGTGGCCAGCAGGGGTGATTTTTATGGTCCTGTGTTTAGGGAAGATTCGATGGCATAATGGCAAGAAAGGCCCTTGTAACAAACTGTGAGACAAGTTATTCCCTGTGCGAAAAGCCGTCAGTGGGGAGAATTCATGAGGATATCTCTGGACATGATTTAGAAAGGGGAAAATATTTTTCTTCAAAAAAATTGTATGATATTTGTTTGTTTGATTTAAAATGTTTATGGATCTTTCCTTTTTATAAAAAAACAGCTTGAAGTCATTTGGAAAAAATGGACACACACACTTTAATTTTGGGGGAGTGGGTTTTGGGACTTTCCCATTTTCTCGCTCTCACTTTTTTTCTTTTCTTTTTTTTTTTTTTAAAGAAATGATGCAGGAGAAACATAATAGCAATAATAAAAATAAATCTTTTCATTCCTTTTAGTTTGAACTTGTCATTTGAAATTTACTTGAAATAAAATTCATTTTGAAATATTTATTTTTAAATTAAATCGAAAGAAAGCGTTTTTGGTTATTTCTGCATTGTTCTGAATGCCATTTTTTTTCATTTATCGTATAATGAAATATATTGAACTAATCAAGTGGTGTCAATTTTCTCTCATAATTTTATCATGAGTCTTGAAATATTTGATATTTTCCTTAAAACCCCAACTGTTCTTGTCCTGTGATTATGAGAGAATTTCAGTTTTAATTTTTAAAGAAAGTTTCTAGCCCTTGTGATTGCAGAAAAAAGCTTAAGAATATGACCTGAGTGTGACCTAAAATCTCAGATACCAAAAGGCAAATTAAAAAAAAAAAAAACATGTATTTTTTTGTCCGTGTGGAAGAACAGAGATCCATGAATGAGGAGATCTCCTACATGAGCAGAGATCTGGATTTTGTTACATGTTTTGTACAGTGCCTCGCTCAATGGGGTCCTGATCAATGACTGGTGCCTACATGTTATGGCAATAAAAACAAAATATCATAACATGTTCTATTCCTATATATTTCCCACCTGCTATGTTTTATATACAGCATATTCAACTTTACCTATTACATTGGCTTATTATTTCCCATGATGGGAACAGAAAAATCTGTGTCTTAGGCTAGGTCTACACTACCCGCCTGAATCAGCGGGTAGAAATCGATCTCTCGGGGATCGAATTATCGCGTCTCGTGGGGACGCGACAATCGATCCCTGAATCGACGCTCTTACTCCACCAGCGGAGGTGGGAGTAAGCGCCGTCGACTGGGAGCCGCGGAGGTCGATTTTTGCCACCGTCCTCACAGCGGGGTAAGTCGGCTCTGATACGTCGAATTCAGCTACGCAACTTGCGTAGCTGAATCGGAGTATAAACCCCCCCCCCCCCCCCGTAGTGAAGACCTGCCCTGAGAGAGAGAGGGAGTTATGGGATTGTTGTGAAGAAAAAATTCTAAAGCTGTCACTTTAATTACAAAATGGAAATATCCTGACACCTACTATTTTAGGGTCAGATTATTTAAACCTCTCAGTCTTGGTCTAACCTTGCTGCCCGTTGGTCATTTCAAGTTTTCCCGTTGACTTCAGTGGGACACAATTAGGCCAGTGCTCAGTGATTTTCAAAATCCTGCCCTTAATTCATATTCAGGGGAGTTCATTCTCTCTCTCTCTCTCTCTCTCTTTTGCGGCGGGGTGTGTGTGTGTCATGGGACATTAATATCATTTTACACTGATCTGATCTTTTTTTTGCAGATTACAGGACGACTGCTGTCACTGCATAATATGCAAATGCATTCATATAACAATGAGTTTATACCTATTTTTATTTAATGTGTCCTTTGCAATCTTCTATTCCTCAAACTCTAATATCCAGCTTGTCCTAATCACTGCAGCCTACTCATTAAGTTTTACTGTTGTTGTGTTCTTTTTACTCTTCCTGTTATCTAGATGACGTTTCAATGAAGATGACGGTTCTCTCATTCTGCCACAGCTCCGGATTCAGCTCCTCTCTGCCTGGTTTTATTATTTATTTCATAACTGTTTATGTTCACAAGTTGGAACCAGGTAGGAATCCTCACGGCCTCTGCTGCTTCCTATAGGTTTTTGTTTCGGCCCCAGGCCTGCAATGCCTTACAAATGGGCTGAACTTTATGCACTGTGAGCAGTCCCATGGAAGTCAGTGGAAGTAATCCCAGTGTGTAAATGTAAGCACAGAGCAGGAACAGGGCCTTACTTGTTGTTTTTAGCTGTGTTTCTGTTGTTGCTGGACTATTTGATCTGACCTTGGGGTAATTTGCAGTCTGTTTGTTCATACATGTATTTTGTAAAGATTGCCAAGAAGGCCCAGCTGATTGGATGGACACTCTTTTACTGCAGAGTAATACAAACCTAAACCATTACAATTATTAGGTTTTATATTTATAAAAAGAGCCCATCACTCTCTCTTTAGTTGCAAATACAAAGGTGAATGGACCAATAGCAGTTTGGTTGGTGGTTGGTTTTGCTTGGTTTGTTTTAAAAACACCTTCCAGCCTTCCGGACTAATAACTCCCCAACACACCTTATCTCAATTACATCCTCTTCCATCCATCCCCTTCCCGACGGAGAATGGACTCTAGATGCACCAGACCAATGGGGTGTTATAGAGCTGAGGATCCTTCACTGAAAGCTTCCCACCACCATTCTTCTCCCACTAAAACCAGTGGGACTGTAAGACGGAGCATCCCAGCTGCTCTCTGCCACTATTGTAGTATCACATGAGGAGAGAGGTGGCAGCCTGGTCCTAAACCATTTAGTGCTTCATGTGTCAAAAACCAAACACCTTGAATTGCACCAGAAATATACTGGGAGCCAGAGCAGATCCCAGCGCTAGGGTCACAGAATTCTGTTTGAAGAGCACAGATAAGGAAACAGGAGGTGACAGTCTGCAGGAGCTGCCAACTAGTCCTCAGGTGATAACGGGATTCCCACACCGCAAACCTGAGCGCCGAAAGCTGGCAAGGCCCTGAGGTGCTGATCCAAATCCCAGTGATTTCAATGGGGTCTTTTCATTGATGTCAGCAGGATTGCGATCAGTCCCCAGCCACTTAAAATTTCCTCCACTTTCTTTCCCTAGTTTACCAGGCCTAATCCTACTCTCTATGCAGAGCATGCTACTGCCAGGGGCAGCAGAATTGAGGGGGCAGATGTAAAATATTTTTTCTCTTTGAATTACATTTCTTTTGTGTCCTAGTCAGGGCTGGATATAGGGACAGGTGACTGTCTGGGGTGCTGGGCTTCGGGGGTGCCAGGCTCGGGGTGCTGTTTTTGTTGTTAGCGATAAAAGGGAAAATAGACTGTTTGACGTAAAATGCCCCTAAATCTGGCCCTGTTAACATTCTAAGTCTGTCACATACTGTAACGCTATTTAATACTTGTCCACCCAGTGTTGGTGCACAGTTAAATTTCTTGATGTTAGTACATTTCGGTTATTCTTAAAACTAAAAAGTTTCTAGAAGATTTACAGATCCTAGCATGCACATTTATCATCTTATGGGACAGAGATAAAATGTGCATCAAAGTCATGAAATGAGTTACTACAAATGTGGTAAAAAAATAAGGTATTCAAAGATTTAACAAATGGAGGGTGGGGGTGGGTGGGGGGATGCCAAAGATGTTTCTTTCCTGGGGCACAATTTGATGTAGGGCCAGCCCTGGTCCTGGTACATTTAACAACACAGTGTACGATGATTAGACCTGCTCGTGCTGTCACTGACCTTGTCAATGATCATGTTTTGTTACCCTGCTCCCCAGGATGAGCACTGAGAATATGTCAGCATTTATTTATATATATATGTATGTATGTGAATAACAATTACACATATTTTTCTTGAAAAATCCATATGTAAATCCATAACACAGAGTGTTCATTCACAGAGCACTTCTCCCTGATGTTCTAGTGATCAGCATTTGGTGCTGTCATTGCCATAGTCTGGATTCGATTCCCGGTGAGGGAAGGCTCTGTCTTTGCCATAGAGAAATTCTATGGCCTATGTTATGCAGGTCAGACCAGGTGATCACAAAGGTCCCTTCTGGCCTTTGAATCTATGAAATAGCTCCATGAAATATAAAATACATAAAACTGGACCTGTCTTGTGTGTACCACTGATTAAATGTACATGATTTTCTCTCTGAGTTTATTTTCTTTGTCTCCTGGTACATTCCACAGCACAATTTAAAGTGGTTGGACCTGACCACCCTGTCACTGCCATTGTGGGTGAAGAGATTGTGTTACCCTGTCACCTGTCCCCTAGGATGAGTGCTGAGAAGATGGAGGTGACATGGTTCCGGTCCCAGATCTCCCCATTTGTTCATCACTATAGTGATGGAAAAGACCAATATGGGCAGCAGATACCAGAATATCAGGGGAGGACAGAGCTTTTGAAAGATGGTCTCACCAATGGGAGTGTTGCCTTGAGAATTTTCAGTATCAGACTCTCTGATGAAGGACAGTATCACTGTTTAGTTCTAGACGGTATGTTTTATGAAGAAGCACTACTGGAACTAAAGGTGGCAGGTCAGTATCTTGTGTCTGTATTTCTCTCTGGGATGGCTCTGAGTGATTTGAAGGGCTCATCAACTCTGGGGTTTATTTTGCACTAACTGCAACACTTTTTAATAAAAATGGGCTGTGTCCACATGATGCAAATCTTCTTCCAAAATAACTGTCCAGTTAATGCAAATTGGATAATCCACTTTAAAAGCTATACAAATTCCCTGTGCATGGCCAGGCTTTAGGACCTGTGCCATCGGCACCTTCTTTATAACAGTGCATGCCTCCATAGCAACAGCCCTGATGGCTGAGCTACCAACACCAGGTTGGTGAGTTACTGACCGGTATCAATCAGGGATGGAGACATTCCAGGTGGTGATGGCCACGTGCTTCTCCACACAGAGGGGAGCTCTCATGTTGGTGTGATGCTGCTGGAGCTGCAGGGTGAGCTCTGCACAGATTTCTAGGAAAGTGCTCCTTGTCATCCGGCCATTCTGCCTCCATTGCTGGTCATCCCAGGACCACATCATGAGCCTTTCCTACCAGTCAGTGCTGCCTTCCTGAGCTCACAACGCAGTGCTCAGTCAAGCAAAGCTGCTCCAAGAAATATTTTTGTCTACAATTACCTGTTAAGTTGCTTCCTCCTTCTTCTCCTCCTCTCTACCGAAATCGTTGCAGTAGCTTGGTGTCAGACTCCCAAAGCCACCGGGTTATGTGATCACAAATACATGTGCAACAGCCTCTGTGTGTTAATGAGTGCCTGGACAATGGCCCACAGCATGTTCCCGCCGTGCTGGCTGACAGCAGTTTGAAAATTTATACTGACTCACAAAAAACAGAAGAATCACATGATGTGTGAAGAGAATTCATGAGAATTTGCTACTGTGACCCCAAATTACAGAATTCTGGTGGCTTCTGGTAGGTATCTCTCAGTGCACCAGGACAGAAATCCCAGAATGCATAAAGCCCAGCAGCAGGACAACCCAGAACGTTGAGTGCCTATTCCAAAATGTCTCTGCCCTGTTAATACACTAATTCAAAGGAAAATAGGTAAAAGACAGCCATGGGGACACAATTATTATGTAACAGTTAATGTTCACAAACCTAATTTAAATAAAAAAAGTAGACAAGCCCTCATTCATTTCCTCACAAGAACTCCAGTGTGTCACTTTTGAAAATAGGACTTAAGTTCCTAAGTCAGATAACTTTGACTATTTTACTCATGGTCTGTTGCTGAGGCAGAATTCTTGTACCAAACGTGAAGACAATTGGAGAAAGGGCTCTTGAATTATTGTGCCTTCTTCATCAATAGTCCTCTAACTATTTTGTCACTTTCAGGGTATGGAGGAAGAGAGTCAAATAGAGAAATAACACCCGATTTTCTGTTTTCACAAAGTTAAAATGTAATGCTCAGGACATTTGTAATGTAAAACTACAAATTTTAGTTTCCTGAGGTAATCAGCCCTAAATGAAAATACCCTTCCAACACTAAATGAAGGGACAGACCTTTATAGTGGGACAAACTTGCGCAGTCTTCACTTTAACTTGGAATTAGTTATACAAAGAAGTCACATCTGTGCTGGCCAGGAATGCCCATTCAATATGGGCACTAGATACTCCACATCTGAAAAAGAGAACCTAGTGATCTGCTGGCCCTGGGACACTCTGGTATCACCTTCATTCTGCTGAAGGCTACATAAAACTTTGAGGAGGAAGAATTGATCCTGTGGCAGGCTAGTCTTCACTGATTTTCACCAATCATGAGGCAGTTCAAGATGGTTATGCTCAAGGGGATGTCCAGAAATTTCTCCCCTTCTGCTCTGATATTGTATTTGCAGGGCCAGGTAGACTAGACTGATTATGATCATAGAGGAGACATTTCACCTGAAGGTTCATTTGAAATACAAAGTTTATTTCTCTTTTTTTAATCTGCTAAACTAAATTATCAATTAGAGGGGTTCATATAATCCAGAAATGCTGTTCTGTGCTCTATGTGGATCCTGGGATGGAACAACACTGAGGAGAAAGGTTTCCCTACAGCTCCATGAAATAATTACACTTTCTTGTTCATATAGTTTCCTGAGTCCATGAGCATTGGGAATAAAGGGGAAGTTTAAATTCTTATCCTCAAGGCTCAATATGTGCATAAATCAACATGGATTTATTCATTTGTCTCTAGCTTCAGGCTCTGCTCCTCATATCTTTGTTGAGGATTACCAGGATGGAGGGATCCGAGTGGTGTGCCGATCAGCTGGATGGTACCCAGAGCCCAAAGTGCTGTGGAGAGATCTCAAGGGACAGCCCTTACCTTCATCCTCTCAGACAAATTCCCGAGAAGCCAGCAGACTGTATAAAACAGAAACTTCTATCATTCTAACAGAAAATTCAAATCAGAACTTGTCCTGTTTGGTCAGGAACACTCGCCTCAGCCTAGAAAAGGAATCATTATTTTATATATCAGGTCAGTAACCATCAAAAACCACACACTGAACAGCAACAGGAAAAAAAAAAAGATGACAACCCTGGTATTGGCCACTGTCTGAAGACAGGATATTGGGGTAGATGGACCTTTGGTCTGACCCAGTGTGGCCGTTCTTCAGTTCTAACCCACTGATTAGCTGTGTTAAAACTAATCAATAGCAATGAAGGCTAAAGTGTGTATTTTAAACAAAACAAAAAAAATAGCAAGAAACCCAGTTAGTTAAGGATGTGATTTCCTCCCTCCCGCCGCCCCCAAAGTACCTTGAATGTTAATAGGACTTGTACACATCAATAATTTAGCCTTGTCTACATTAGGAAGATTTTTGCCAGGATATCTCTACCGGCAAAACACACAACTATACTGGCAAAACTGCACTTTTGCTGGTATAGCTTATGCCGGTTTCCCAAACTGACAAACTATATCCATGTGTAAGTGCAGGTTTTTCAGTATAACTTTGACTGTACTAGGGCTTTTGTCAGCCTAATGATGTTGATAAAAATTCACATCCCCAACTGATATAGCTGTGCTGGCAAAAAGTTTTTTCTATTGTAGACTAGACCAGGGATTGGCAACCTATGGCACGCGTGCCAAAGGCGGCATGCGAGCTGATTTTCAGTGGCACTCACACTGCCTGGGTCCTGGCCACTGGTCTGTGGTCTCTGCATTTTAATTTAATTTTAAATGAAATGAAGCTTCTTAAACATTTTCAAAACCTTATTTACTTTACAATAGTTTAGTTATATATTCTAGACTCATAGAAAGAGACCTAAAAATGTGAAAATGTATTACTGGCATGCGAAACCTTAAATCAGAGTGAATAAATGAAGACTCGGCACAGCACTTCTGAAAGGTTGCTGACCCCTGGACTAGACATTAGGCACTTTTGAAATTCCCACTGTGATGGGTTCCCCGTGGTTGCCAACTGAAGCTCAGGTACAGCTGAGCCCTCTGTTATACCAGCCTGGGCTCCTTCTCACATTGTACTGCTGTGACAAGCTGCAAACCACTCCTGGTCCTGCACTTCCACCAGCATCCACACAGGCAGGGAAACACCCAGCTGCAGTCACCTGAGTGCTTTACCTAAGCCGCTCATGGATCAACAATAGAGGCACCAGCCAATTTCCCAGATTCCCAACCCTGCATCCCTACTGGAGTTTAAACCCAGAATTCTACCATCTTGCACTGCACAGGGGTCAGTACGGTGCAAGCTCATTTAAATTAATCCACTCCCCCCTCAGTGTGGGGAAGATATGCAACAGCCTTTGTTAACCGAGCTAAGATTTTTCCCAAACTCTTCAATCACAAACACACTGGTTAAGATAAAACATAAAACAAGTTTATTAACTACAGAAAGATTTTAAGTGATAGCAACCAAAACAAATCAGGTTACTCAGGAAATTAAACAACAACAAAAAAATTACCCAGTTTGCCCCACCTCTGTGTGGAGAGGAGTATACACGAAACCTTTAACTGAGCTGAGATTTTTCCCAAACACTTCACTCATACCACACTGTTTTAGGTAAAAAATGTATAATAGATTTATTAACTACAGAAAGATAAATTTTAAGTGATTAGAAGTGATAGCAAACAGATCAAAGTAGATCACCTAGCAAATAAACAAAAACACAATCTAAGCCTAATATACTACACAGGATTTGAATCAAGCAGTGTCGATAATACCATCAGGTTTCCATACACAGGCTAGAAATCTTTAGCCTGGGATCAGTACTTCCCCCAGTTCAATCTTTGTTCCTCCAGAGTTGATTTGCAGAGGGAGTGAGGACCTTGGTGATGTCACGCCCCATCTTTTATAGTCTTTCCATATGGTGAGAGCCCCTTTGTTTCAAGCTAAGTTCCCAGCCCAGTTTGTGGAAAAATGCAGGTACCAAAATGGAGTTCAGTATCACGTGGTCTGGTCGCATGCCCCTGCATGCTTGATGAGTCATAGCAGCCATCATCCATAATCTGGCTGAAGCATACACAGTTGAGGATAAGCCTTTTCCGTGGTCCATTGTCTTAGCTGATGGGCCATTAGCACTGTCTAGCTTCTTCATTGTACCTGAAAGGCCAGTTGTGGATGTTTCCAACTTTATAACATCTTTCAGTAACACACATATAACTTTACATACAATGACAATACATACAATACAACAAGATATTAATGTTCAAAGATCAAGACTTAGAAAGGTACCTTACAAGGCATACTTTGTACAAAACTTATCATAATTATAGGACAGTGGTGAATATGGGGATATGGAGTGTCACACCCACCCATACTGTATAGACTGAAGAATAATCAGACCAATCTAGTTACTTTACTTCTCTACCAGAAATGATGAGGGAATTGACCTGTCTGAAGAATGTGTTCTGTTCCATTTGCTTTCTTTGATTTAGGAGATTTTGAATCTCTCACTCTAATCCTTTAACTGTATTTGAGTGAACAGTAAAAGGAAGGCACAGTAGACAAACAGCCAGACATCCTCCCCACTCTTACATAGATGTATGATTGTTAGATAATCCTTTGATCATTTTGGGCTGAGGGAACAGCACTTAACTCTGTTGCAAGGCTCACTCCCCCATGGAAATCCTTGGCCCACTGAAGTCAATGGCAAAACTTTTATGGAGTTCAGTGGAACCAAAATATCACCACCATCATCTATCCTTTCTTAAATCCCTGACTGCAAATAGTGATGATCACTGCTCACCATCTGCCTAGCCATTCTCAGGTTGCATTGTTGCAGAGATGTCTTTTGAGGAGAGACCGAAAGCAGGACAAGATATTGGCTTTACAGATTTTTGATTGGCATTTTCCCCCTTCTTAAGGGGCGGTTTGTGTGAAAGCACAAAATACCTTGTTGAAGAAGTAGAAAATTGGAAGTTGGCATCACTGGTGAAGTAAACAGGGAATCAATCTGGTGGTGATATACTGAAGTGGGGCTAACCTGGAGAGCTTTGTAAGTGAGGACAAGAAATTTGTGTCTGATGCATTGGAAGAGGGGAGCCAATGGAGGGATTTAAAGAGGCCGATAATATAGTCAGAGTGACAACAACTTAGCAGAGGTATTTTACATCAATTTGATTTGGAGGGTAACACTGAGTCCTGGGAGGAGGAGATCAAAGCAGTGAAGATGTGGGATGATCGAGGTTCAGACCAGAGTTTGGGAAGTGTGGGCAGAGAGAAAAGTTCAGACTTCCTATACAACGTCTCCAACCTGGGAGACGTTGTATAGGAAGAAGGGTGAGATTTAGACCTTAGGTTTAAACAGGAGGATCACAGTAGTTTCCTGCACAATAAGTTTGGATGAATTGTGATTATGATTCATTGAAAGATTTGGGGGGTGATAGTGGATTGACAAGCAATTTTTCGGACAACCTGGCAATTTCTGTGTTCTTTAACATTGATAGCCTTGCTCACCCCTGGCATAACACCACTCTGATCAACGACTTTAACTCTGAAGCACTCTGACTCATGGTCGCTACTATTGCTAATAGCAGTATTACGTTAAAGAGAGGAAAGGACTTGTCCAAGGTCACACAGCAGGTCACCAGCAAATCTTGGACTAGAACTCCAGTCTCACAAATCCCATCCTACTGCCCAGGGGACTGGAGAATGTTGCCTCTCATTGCAAATCAAACCAGGTTCACTTATACACCGATGTACAAATTTGATGGCTGTCTTGGTTGGAGTCATTTTTAACATTGGTTTCCTGTGTTTTATGCAGTGCCTTTATTTTAGACAAGTCCCACTGGGGGTGTTATGTGAAATGGAGTCATTTGATTTTTGTCACTGCTTACAGAGTAATATGAGTCCCTCTGGGATTTTGTTTTTCAGCTCCCTTTTTCCCAAAGGTGAATCTCTGGATGGTGGCTCTGGGTGTGATCCTGGTGGTTTTGCTTGGTTCCTTTGCCCTTAATGCTTATCTCTTCAAGATCAAAGGTAACTTTAGGAGCAGGAAATACAGTGTAATTCACAAGAGATTTTCTTCAAAGAAATGAGCACAGTGAAAGATTTGACACTGGGCCAGGTGTGATGGGAAGCATCTGATTGCACCACCGCCAGCAGCACAGGGAAGGAAATATTACTAAGGTTCCCCTTTGGTTCGGGGGAGAGGTGGAGTAATAATCTGCACCAGCTCCTGGCTCCAGGCACAGAGAACATCTTCCCCAGTACTTGACTGCAGCATTGTAGGGTGGAGTGAAAGCTCTGTCCACTGCTCTTTGTCCATTCAGCACCCACCTTTGCAGTGGTGCGTATTGTGCCAGCAGAGCCTCCCCCAATCCAATGCACATGGCAAGGATCCAGGGAGCCCATGCATGGGACTAAAGAGTTTCATTTCCCCCTTACTCCCTTGTGTCAGGCTGTTGCGCAAGATACAATCTTGTCCTAAATGCAACAGCCCATGACATTTCCATGTATGGTAGGGGTGGGGTGGGGGATGGAATTGGAAGGAGGAGAAAATTGGGCAATGGGGCTGAACCAGAGAGACCCAGATCAAAGCTGTGTGTTCTGCATCCTGCTCAGTCTTCTGTCTCCCAGTTCTCTGGGGTCACTTATGTCTGTCTCTGGTCTCACTTCCCACATGACGCTGCAAAACCTGATAGATATACTTAAAATCAGTTTTTGCTAATAAAGTGCAGTTCACCCTCATGCTACATTGGTGCTCCCTGTGCAATAGCCAGTAGGGTAAGTAAATAAATGTGTTCTTAAATGAGGAAAAGAAATCACAGCCATTTGGTAAGTCTCTGGGTGTGATCTTCCTCTTTCCATAAGTCAATTTTTTGTACACGGTTGTGTCCCCATAGCACTGGTGGTGTTTTCCTGTTCTAATAGAAGATTTACTATTCTTTTTAAAATAGGGTAAGCCTAAATATGAGGAAATTGCACATCAGAGGGTGACAAGAAAACCTTATGAGCAACAACAAAAAAGGGGGCTTTGTACAGAAATGACCTCTTAGGTCAGATGATCTGCTGGTATAAAGCAAAATCATGCTATTGAAATCAATGGAGCTTAATTAATTTCCACAAGTCCAGACCCGCAAAGGGACTTGGGTGTTCCAACACTGAACATCACAACACCAAACTTTTAGATGCCTAGAAAATCAGTGGAACACCACTGTGATCCACATAGCCCCTCTGCAATGATGTGGAGAGAGATGCACGTTAGAATGGGATCCATAAAAGCACGCTAGGTGGGGAGCCAGCTAAGACAGCCAATGGCAGAGGGGTGCATCCTAAGCCCCTCCCTTCTCACAGAGTTTGGTGCCTAAATCCAGGCTGCTGGGAGGTGCCTAGCTCTGCTTCCTGGCCACATCCACGAACCCCTGTCCTGGAGTCAGGCTGCTTAGGCTCCAAAGCCATTTCTCGTGACAGTGAGCGAGATGCCTGCCTAGCTCACTTTGGCAGAACACAGTCAAAAAAGGCTGAGCTCTCTGTGTAGCCTAATGCCCAGGAGCCAAATGAATTATACTGAGCACCTGCCGAGAGACAGTCCAAGAGCGCTGAAAGGAAGCTCTGACTCAGAGGTTGTGTGGCTCAACACAAACTGTTTTGGCTCTGACAGCTGAGTACTCACCCCGGCCCTGTGAGTTTAAATCCGATCATGGATAGAAATTGGAAGGTGCCTTAATATAATAGGGGGGTTTATTTTGTGGAAAATGTAATCTGAGTACAGCAGATACTCAGAGGTTGCTCTGATATTTTTGAAGAGAAAATAAATTCCACGTGTAAATGCTCGTTGGGGAGGAGTGGGAATTAGGGAGCAGAGGAGCAAAGGAAAGAGGTTTGGAGCTGCAGTGAGGGAAGAAGGGGCTATGGAAAGGGGATTAAACTCACTGACTAAAATCTTTCTTAATGCACTTGCCTTATGGTATCTTGTACCCTTCTGGAATGACACGTTGGAAAACCAGGGAATACAGAGTTGAGGTATTTGCCCTCATGACCTTTACTCTGCCCCCTCTGGTGCTGGCAATAGCCACTGGACATTATCTGCATGCGCTCTAGCTGCATTCACTGATAGGTGCAGCTGTACTGAAGGGTGGAGGGGATCCATGGGAGCAGCTTGGCAGAGCTGTGATTGTGATCTGAGGTGAACTGCATGGACTGTGCCCCTTGGGAGAAGAGGGGGAGGGATGAGCCACTGTCCTTGACCCCTTTGTGTGTATTTGTGTACCCCAAATAATAAATACTAATAATAAAACAAAACTGTAAAAGGACAAAAAATGCCACCATGGTTAGACAACAGAATAAATGAAGTGGTTAGAGCCAAAAACACATCCTTTAAAAACTGGAAGTCAAATCTTACTGAGGAAAATAGAAAGAAACAGAAACTCTGGCAAGTCCAGTGTAAAAGGATAATTAGGCAGCCCAAGAAAGAATTTGAAGAGCAACTAGCCAAAGATGCAAAAACATTTCCAAGTACATAAGAAGAAAGAAGCCTGCCAAACAGTCAGTGCGACCACTGAACAACTGAGGTGATAAAGGAGCACTCAAAGAAGACAAGACCATTGCAGAGAATCTAAATGAGTTCTTTGCATCCATCTTCACAGGAGAGGATGTGAGGTATATTCCCACACCTGAGCCATTCTTATTAGGTGACATATCTGAATAAATGTCTCAGATTGAGGTGTCAATAGAGGAGATTTGGGGGGGAAATGATAAAATAAACAGTAAGTCCCCAGGACTTAGGTGATATTACCCAAGAGTTCTGAAGAAACTCAGGTATGAAATTTCCAAACTACTAACTGTGGTATATAACTTATCACTTAAATGAATCTCTGTACCAGATAGCTAATGTAATGTTGATTTTTTTTAAAAAGGCTCCAAAGCAATCCTGGCAATTACAGGCTGGTACACCTAACTTCAGAATCAGACAGTTTGGTTGAAGTTATAGTAAAGAACAGAGCTATCAGACACATAGATGAACATGATATGTTGGGGAAGAGTGGGCATGGCTTTTGTAAAGGGAAATCATTCCTCACCAATCTACTAGAATTCATTGAGGGTGTCAAGAAACATGTGGACAAGGGTGATCCAGTGGATATAATGTACTTGTACTTTCAGAAAGCTGTTAACAAGGTCCCTCACCAAAGACCCTTAAGAATAGGAAGCAGTCATGGGATAAGAGGGAAGGTCCTTTCATGGATCAGTAACTGGTTCAAAGAAAGGAAACAAAGGGTAGGAATAAATGGTCAGTTTTCACAGGAGAGAGGTAAATAGCGGGGTCCTCCAGGGATCTGTACTGGGACCAGTGCTGTTCAACATATTCATAAAGGATCTGGAAAAAAGGGTAAACAGTGAGGTGGCAAAGTTTACAGAGAATACAAAATTACTCAATATAGTTAAGTCCAAAGCTTCTGCAAAGATTTCCAAAGGAATCTCACAAAATACAACCTAGGGAAATACAACCTAGATGGTTCTCCTATAAGGTGGGTGTATAACTGGTTGGATAACGGCTCCCAGAGAGTAGTTATCAATGGTTCACAGTCAATCTGGAAAGGAATAATGAGTGGGGTCCCTCAGGCATCAATTCTGGGTCCATTTCTGTTCAATATCTTAATCAGTGATTTAGATGATGGCATAGAGAATATACTTATAACGTTTGCGGATGATACCAAGATGGGAGGGGTTGCAAGTGCTTTAGAGGATAGGATGAAAATTCAAAATGATCTGGACAAACTTGAGAAATGGTTTGAAGTAAATAGGATGAAATTCAATAAGGACAAATGCAAAATACTCCACTTAGGAAGGAACAATCAGCTGAACACATACAAAATGGGAAACGACTGCCTACGAAGGAGTACTGCGGAAAGTGATCTGGGGCTCATAGTGGACCACAAGCTAAATGAGAGTCAACAGTGTAACACTGTTGCAAAAGAAGCAAACATCATTCTGGGATGTATTAGCAGGAGAGTTGTAAGCAAGACACAAGAAGTAATTCTTTTGCTCTACTCTGCGCTGATTGGGCCTCGACTGGAGACTTGTGTCCAGTTCTGGGCACCACATTTCAGGAAGGATGTGGACAAATGGGAGAAAGTTCAGAGAAAAGCAACAAAAATTATTGAAGGTTTAGAAAACATGACCTATGAGGGAAGATTGAAGAAACTGGGTTTGTTTAGTCTGGAAAAGAGAAGACGGAGAGGGGAATCATAACAGTTTTCAAGTACATAAAAGGTTGTTAAAGGGGGGGGGGGGAAATTGGTCATCTTAACCTCTGAGAATAGGACAAGAAGCAATGGGCTTAAATTGCAGCAAGGGAGGTTTAGGTTGGACATTAGGAAAAACTTCCTGTCAGGGTGATTAGGCACTGGAATAAATTGCCTAGGGAGGTTGTGGAATCTCCAACATTGGCGATTTTTAGGAGCAGGTTAGACAAACACCTGTCAGGGATGGTCTATAATACTTATTCCTGCCATGAGTGCAGGGGACTGGACTAGATGACCTCTCGACGTCCCTTCCAGTCCTATGATTCTATCAAAATTGTGTGACTGGGCAACAAAATGGCAGATGCAATTCAATGTATATAAATGCAAATCAATGCACATTGGAAAACATAATCCCAACTATACATACAGAATGATGGGATCTAAACTAGCTATTACCACTCAAGGATGAGATCTTGCAGTCATTGTGGATAGTTCTCTGAAAACATCCACTCAATGTGCAATGGCGGGGAAAAAAGCTAACACAATGTTGGAAATCATTAGGAAAGGGAGAGATAATAAGACAGAAAATATCACAATGCCGCTATGTAAATCCATGGTAAATTTTGAATAGTGCAGGCAGTTCTGGTTGCCCTGTCTCAAAATAGACATATTAGAATTGGAAAGGGTACAGGGAAGGTCAAACAAAAATGATTAGGCGTATGGAACAGCTTCCATATGAGGAGAGACTAAAAAGACTGGGATGGTTCAGCTTGGAAAAGAGATGACTAAGATGGGATATGATAGAGGTCTATGAAATCATAACTGGTGTGGAGAAAGGGAATATGGAAGTGTTC